TGTGTGTGTGTGTGTGTGTGTGTGTGTGTGTGTGTGCGCGCAGCCATGGGCTCCGGCGTACTCCTCCCGCTGGGCAGTGTGTGTGCGTGGCCATGGGCTCGTGTGTGTGTGTGTGTGTGTGTGTGTGTGTGTGTGTGCACGCGCGCGCACGGCCATGGGCTCCGGCGTACTCCTCCTCCCCCGGGCAGTGTGTGTGCGTGGCCATGGGCTTGTGTGTGTGTGTGTGTGTGTGTGTCTGTGTGTCTGTGTGTGTGCACGGCCACGGGCTCGTGTGTGTGTGTGTGTGTGTGTGCGCAGCCATGGGCTCCGGCGTACTCCTCCTCCCCCTGGGCAGTGTGTGTGCGTGGCCACGGCTTTGTGTACTCCTGCCAGGGTCGTCACCAGCGCCGGGCTGCAGGTTTGGCCACCTGGCTTGAGACTTTTCAGTGGCCATCCTCATCTCCAGACGCCATAGCTAGCCAAGAATGCATGACTCTGTGCGGCTTTTGCAGGAAGGTGGGAGAGATAATAGAAGGAATAAATAAATGAGTCATCCGTGGACCCCCGAGGCCCGGGGGGACCCGGTCGCCGCCCGGCCAGCAGGTGACGGGCCAGCACTTCCCCCGCAGCCCCTAGCGCAGCCAGCTCAGCGCGCTTGTCTCTGAGTGGAGATTTCACCATGCTTTAGGGACCATGCTCTCATCATTATTGTCAGGGAAGATCCAGGAGACGAGAGGGAAGAGCAGAGACTGAGACCTCAGTCTGTTGGACCTGACTTTCCTCATGGCTGCAGACAGGCCCGAGGAACGAGGCCCAGAGTGGGAGACAGACACACGGGCGCAGGGCGGGGGAGGCGCGCAGGATCTAAGGATAGAAAAAAGGAAGTTATTAGTTGTGAAATAACGCATGCAGCTACCACATTCTCCCCGGGGAGATGTGTACTTTCATTAGGGGCGGGTGAGCCTCTTCCAGGAACTGGCCCTGCGGGCTGGGAGGGCAGCCCCGGGTGAGGAGCTGAGGAGCGAAGGCGAGGGCCGGCAGGGCCATGTGACTGGCCCTATAAAAGTAGGAGGAAGCGGGGCTGCAGAGGAGAGGCTGCCTTCGCTGCTGCTGTCCGCATCTTCCCTCATCTCTTGGCTTCTCCACCCGGAGGCTGTACCTGCAGAACATCAGAAGGACCTTGGTGAGCATGCTCGTTGTGGGGTGGGGACGCCGGAGTGGAGGGCAACTTCAGAATGGATAGATCCATTCGCTCAGCCAAGACACCTTCCTAAGCACATAGAGCGTTCTCTATGAGAATGGTTTCTGGCTGCTGGTAGCTTACACAGGTTCTCCAAACTACGCAGGAGGCTCAAATCTGGAAGGTTATTGCTTGAAAATAGCTAGTCAGAAGAGTCCATGAGACTCCTACCTCCAATAAAAACAACAGCAACAACAAAACCCAGCAAAAAGCCCACCTGGCACCTTGAGTCAAATGGTTGAGCAGCAGCAGAGTGAGCAAGCTGAGTAAGCTCCAGGCCATTCGCCTCAGCTGCGGAGGTCTGACGTGGGGCTCTAGCACCTCCTTTACCCATACAAGGAAGGGCCCCTGCTGTGTGAAAAGCCTTGAGAGAAAGCTGGTTTTTCCTGAATGTCTTCAGGATGGAAATAGCACTTTCAGTTTGTGTCCCCCCAAAGAGCCCGTTGGGCACAGATCTAGGAGCGGATCGCTTTTCACTTGCAAATGAGTGACTGGATGACAACACAGTTGTGTTTTGGAAGGCTTAGAGCTCCGGGCCTGTGGGAGCCTGGGTCCGGAGGGGACCCTGACTGGCTGCAGAGCTGATGGAGCGCTGACGCATGCCGTGAAAATCCTGGCTGCGCCGGATTTTATCCTGTGCCAGGTAAAGACGCACGGTGCGCCGGCTGACCGAGTCCCTGGAGGTTCTTATTTTCATGAGGAAATCCCTGATTTTTTGTCATCTCTTTCTTGGAACGGTCCCCTTTCTGTCTATTTTCCTGTGCCTCCCTTACGTGTTCCCAGGTCCAATCTGAACCTATAAATGTGGAAGTCGAGGAAAGACGGTGTCTGTTGGTTAAACTTGCTCCTTGCCCCGTGGTGGTATCTGGAACATTAATTATCCAATAGACAGCGGTCTGCGTGATGGCAGGGAGGCCATCTTCACGACCACCCCGTCTGCGGCTGCGTCCGGCAGAGCCCCACAGTGCTGACCACTTGGCCCCTCCTTGCAGACTCTCACCGAGCGGCCATGCCCCGGCTCTCCGTGCCCCGGAGCCTCCTCCGCGTCTGCGTCCTGGCCATCTGTGTGTTCAGCACTGTGGGTAAGAGTACACAAACAACGCCTTTCTTCCAACATGCTGGGGGGGCAGGGAAGGCCCCGGGGTGGGGTGGCCAGTCCCTGGAGGACAGAGCCTCGTGGAGCCCCGTCTCCAGGCATGTCTCCGGTACTGGAAGCAGCTACAGTGCCTGACAGCTTCCTTTCCTGAACTGGTTTCAAGCAATGCACGTGTCCTTGTTGTAGAGACGTTCACCTGTGAAGACTGCCAGCAGGACACATGCACCCAGACACCGAAGACCTGTGAAAGCGCCGACAGCTGCTTCACCAACATGCAGTTCTGGAACAAGTCTGGTGAGTCACCACAGACATCAGCCACACGGCCACGCTGCGCACATGGCAGGTGCTCCGGGGGGCAGGGGGGAAC